TTTTCTCATGTGTAATTTGTCTTTTTATTACTTTCTGGATACAGTTATTTGTTAGTTATATGAGTTTTAAATATATTCTCCCACTGTGGCTTTCCTTTTCACTCTCGTTTTGTTGTCTTTTTCTCTTGTTTTGTTTTATAGAGAAAATAGTGTAATAAACTCCCATAAACCTATCACTTATCTTCTATAATTATCAACATTTTATCCTTATATCTTTTGATAGAGTTCTTAATTTTAAAGTTGTCGAATTATAGTTATAGTTATTATGGTTAGTACTTTTCATGTTCATTTTATGACATCTTTCCCTAAGGTCATGAAACATACTCATATATAATCTTTTACCTGCTTTGTAAGTTTCCATTTCCTATTTAGGTCAATAATGCATCTGGAATTAATTTTGGAATCTGGAATGAGGTACGGTTCAAGTTCCATTTATTTTCATATGGACACACGATTTTTCCACATTATTTACTGAAAAGATTGTCTTTTATCCAAATCTCTGCAGTGCCACTTTCCTCACTCTCTGTCACTCTTTCTCTCTCTTTCTCTCAGCCTCCAGCTGGCCCTCCAGAGCCCAAATCAGGCCTACTAGTTGGGGTTCCTGACCCAAGTTGATACAGAGAAGGGGAATCCCATTCACACAACCAGCTAGTGCCTTGTTTGCATTCCTGGCCATGACCCTGAGGCTGACTCTGGGAACTGTCTGTGACTGTTTTCACACCACATCAGCAGGGTTGAATACTTATGACAGAAACTGTATGGTCTGCAAAGCCTAAAATATTTACTACCTGGCCTGCACTAGTTTTCTATTGCTGCTGCAACAAATTGCCACAAACTTAGTTATTTAAAACAACACAAATTTATCCTCCTACAAAGTTGTAAAATCAATATCACTGGGTCAAAATCAAGGTGTCAGCAGAACTGTGCTCCCTCAGGAGATTCTAGGGGGCAAACCATTTCCTCTTCTGTTCCAGGTTTTAGGGCTGTATTCCTCAGCTTGTGGCTCTTTTCTGTGTCATCAAAGCCAGCATTTAGCATCTTCAAATCTCTCTCTGCTTCCATATTCACATCACCTTCTCTCTTATAAGGACACTTACGCATACATGGGGCCCACCAGGATAATCAAGGATCATCTCTCCACCACAAATCCTTAATTTAATCACATCTGCAAAGTCCCCTTTGCCATATAAGGTAACATTCACAGGTCCTGGGGATTAGGACTTGGACAGATTGAGGTGGGGGGTTGCATTATTCGGCCTACCATATGGCCCTTTTAAAAAAAGTGTTTTGCTGTGATCATCATACCTTGACACCGTGTATTATGGAGAATATTCCATTAAATCTAAGTTCCATTAATTAAAAAACCTTTTTTCTGACTGCTGTTCTACACTATATCAGGGATAACTTCCCTGAGATTCATTCTATGGCTTTCCTCAATTTGATTTCTCTAATTTTGAAGAAAATGTATACTCTGGTTAAAGGTTTGCCATCATAAACAACAACAACAACAATAATTAGGCAGTATCTCCCAATGAATACCATGCTATTTAGCAAATAGTTCCCTTAAAATGAACAGTTTCTCAAGTATATTTCACACCTGAGTAATATCACTGAGTTCACAGTGTCAAATCCTTGGCTCAAGCTGCCTCTACTCACATCACAACTCATGTTATCAGTTATTATTGTCCCAAAGCAAAGGGCTGGCAGACTAGGGTGAAAGCTCATTTGCAAAGTTTTTCGAGGTGTTATGGGCTGATCTGTGTGTGTCACCCCCTGCCCCTCCACACCCAAATTCGTATGTTGAAGTCCTAACCTCCAGTCCTAACCTCCGGTACCTCAGAATGTGACCTTATTTGCAGATAGAGTTGTTACAGAGGTAACCAAGGTGAAATGAGGTCTTTAGGGTGGGCCCTGTTCCCATATGATTGGTGTCTTTATAAGAAGTGGATTTGGATGTACAGAGGGAAACAATGTGGAGACACAGGGAGAAGACAAGCCAAGAAGAGAGGCCTGGGACAGATTCTTCCCTCACAGCCTCCAGAAGGAACCAACCCTGCTGACACCTTGACTTCAGATTTCCAGGTTCCAGAACCATAAGACAATAAACATCTGTTGTTTAAGCCACCAGATCTGTGGTACTTTGTTATGGCAGCTCTATCAAAATATATGTGGTGAGAGACTATTGCTTCCAAAGGAATTCCACAGTTGGAATTCCCCAGGAACCGTAAAACCACATGTTCAAAATAAACAAATTGTCATTTCTGTAACACTCTCTTCCCTTTCTGCCAAGATTACATCTACAACAAGCAGGGGCGTGGTGGGAGGTGCAAAGAGAAATGTATAGTTAGAAAGATGTATATGCACTGATGTCATCTGTATAGCCCAGTGAGTAATAGCCTAGTTCAGAGTCAACCTGACTTGGCTTCACTATCCCAACTCCGTTACTTAACGTTTGTGCAATCCTGGGTAAATTAGTTCCTTACCTCTCTGTGCTCCTCAGTACCTCAGTTTTCTCATCTGTAATATGGGGATGATACTGACACCAACTTCACAGAGAGTGTTGTGAGAATTAAGGAGATTTATATATATAGATATATAGATATATTTCACACAGTAAGTGTAAGCTTTTAACACTCATTGTAATTATTTAATTACTACCCTCAACACTTCCTATAAGCCACAGAATAGAACATTATGGAGTCTAGACACTGGTACTCAAAACATTGAACTGAAAATTTTAAACTGTGGAATCTGCCATATTAAATTTCCCCCTTTACTGAATCTAACCAGGAGCTTGACCTAACCTCTCAAATCTCAAATGAAATTTTTGGCTTTCCTGTGTCCAAAACCAAAGTCTTGGTTTCTGCCCTCCTCTGATCTGCTCTGCCCTGGTCCTGGTCCTCACATGCTCACGGGTGGCTACTCCCTCCTCCCAGGTGCCCCAGCCATGATGCCCCCCTCTTCATCCTCAGAGCTGGTTCTTCCCCTTGCCTGGAACTCACCTACTTCTCTCCCCTTCCACCTCCCACACTCTGGTCAGACACTCACCTCCTCCTGTACCACTGTGAGGGCTACTGCCCCAGCTCCCTGGTGGTCCATCCTACACTCAGGGAACCAGTGAGATGCTCTCATCCTGTAAGTCAGGAACCTGTTTTGTGAAGTCAGCTGTGGCCCTGTCTAACCTGTCCTGAGCAGGGGAGGGCTGTGGGGGGCTGTGTGAGCCCAGCGGCAGGAACCTACTACCTCAAATGCCCAGTTTGTACAGACTTCTGCAACATCAAGCTTGGGGCCTAGCACCAGCTAAGTGCTCCATCCTTCCCAACTGGTAAAATGGGTGAAGGCCAAGCTGGACCTCCCAACTCTGCCGGGGACAGGTGCCTGGACAGCTCTGAAAACAGAGACAATCAGGGCCCTTGGATGTGGTGAGGGAAGGCAGAAGGGTGACATAGCTTTTGCTTGCTCCCTCTGCCAGCTTTGCCCAAATCCCTGTGACTGCCCTAATCCACCCTCTCTAATGGAGCCCAGGCCGGCTCAGCCCCCCTTAGCACGAACTTGCTAATCCCTGGGGCTTGGAGCGCACCAGCTGTCTCCAGGATGCACTTTGCTCTCAGTGTCAGAAAGGCAAATCCAGGGCCTCAGATGGGGATGGTGGTAAAAGTGTCCATCACCTTGGCCCAAAACCTGAGATGAGGAAGCTCAGGTACCAAGAGCCTCACACGGTGTGTCACTGCTTCAGACCCCAGAGCCAGGAAGGCTTTATGAACCGCCAGAAGAGCAACTCCTTAGGGTTCCATCATCAGATGCAAGAGGCAGGGGTGGCAACTGCAGGGCAAGCCTGCCCTGTCCCCTCCCTCCATCAAAGGCAGTGAGGGTTGCTTGTTTCACACCAACCTGAGTACAAATCCTGATGCTGACACATGTCCACTGTGTGACCTTGGGTGAGTCACTTAACTCCTTGAGGTCTCTACTTCCCCAACTGTGAAATGGGCCTGATGGTAGAAGTCTCTTCTTTGTAGGGTTGTGTGTGTGCTACCATTAAAGGTCTGCTTGCTCCTGCCTTCTTCCAGCTCAGCCCTGTTCTCTCTCCTCCTGTTCAGGCGCAATCCTGTTTGCTCAGCCCGTGTTCCTTTCTCACTCCACTCATGGGTTTATTGCAGGGATTTGCAAGGAGAAAGCTGGGAAGTGCCTTAAGCAGCCTGAGCCAAGACACTGGTGGCCAGAAGAGAGGAAGAGTAACAGAAAACGGGTAAGAGACAGAGAGAGAGACAATGAGAGAAAGGAACACTGAGAGAGAGAGAATGAGACTGAGACAGAAAGAGAAGAAAGAGAGAAGGGAGAGGGGTGGGTAGAGAAAGCCGGAGACAGAGATGAGAAATAGAGAGACCAGAAGACAGAAAAGGACAGAGTGTGTATGTCAGACACATACCCAAAGACAGGAAAGAAACAGACCCAGGGAGTAGGAAAGGGAGGGAAAGGAGATGTGGAGAGAGCCAGTCCGGCGCACACGCCTTGCTCAGGACGGGTCTCCGCCCTCAGGGCGGCCTCTCATCCCTTCCCCAGAATCCTTAAATCCTCTCTCCCTCAGGGCTCTCGGCATCTGTCACTGTCCCGTCCTGAACCGACAGCGGCTGGCGCGGGTGAGTGTGGCTACAGAGGGGGCCTGGGTGTGCGCTGGGGGTGGACTCCCAGTAAGAGCGGCCCAGGGCTGTCGGGGAGGGCAGGGGTAGGACTGGAGCCAGTGGTCGAGCAGGGGGGACCCAGGTGATGAGGTTCAGAGGGTGTGAGAGCCAGGTGGCCCGGGAAGGCTGGCCGAGTTGATGCTTCATAACTTCTCCAGCTGACTCGGCCAATATTTATATACTGCGCGCCTCCCCTCTCCCCAAGGCTTGGGGCTCACTCGCCTTTCCGCCGACCCGGGTCCTTCCTCTGCCGGGCGCTCAGAGCGTTCTCCCGTTCTGTTCCCGTCCCCACCCCGTCTTCCTCCCGCAGTCCCCGAGCCGATGGCCGGGATCCTGCCGCTGCTGACGCTGCTGCTGACGCTGGCGCAGGCGGGCGTGGCGGGCGCCGCGGGCTCGGTGCGCCTGGCGGGCGGCCTCACGCTGGGCGGCCTGTTCCCGGTGCACGCGCGGGGCGCGGCGGGCAGAGCGTGCGGGCCGCTGAAGAAGGAGCAGGGAGTGCACAGGCTCGAGGCCATGCTGTACGCGCTGGACCGCGTGAACGCCGACCCCGAGCTGCTGCCCGGGGTGCGCCTGGGCGCGCGGCTGCTCGACACCTGCTCGCGGGACACGTACGCGCTGGAGCAGGCGCTGAGCTTCGTGCAGGCGCTGATCCGCGGCCGCGGCGACGGCGACGAGGCAGCCGTGCGCTGCCCAGGCGGCGTCCCCCCGGTGCGCGCCGCGCCCCCTGAGCGCGTGGTGGCTGTCGTGGGCGCCTCGGCCAGCTCCGTCTCCATCATGGTCGCCAACGTGCTGCGCCTGTTTGCGGTGAGGGCCCGGGGGAGCGCCCGGGTTGCAGCTTCCCTCCCTCGTCCTTGCCCTGGGCGTGGCTGAGGTCTGGCCTCCTTGCGAGAATCACTCTAGTTCGCAAAGAAACCTTGTCCCCTGGGCCAGACGCAAGCCTGTCTGGGAAGGTTGTTCGGAATTAAAGCGTCTAGAGTGCCCGGGGTAACTAAGTCGTCCATTAATTGCACTGTAGCCCATGAGCGTTTCTCTGCCTCGTTTTCTCTCATTTTCCCTCTTTCTTTGTCTTTCTTCTTGATTTTCTCTTTCCATCTCCCTGTCTCTCTCTTCCCCTCTCCTTTCCATAACGTCTTCACACTCCACCCTTCCTTTCTGTTTCAGCTTCAAACATCTCTGTCTTCCCTAGACCAGCTCCAGCCCGCTTCTTCCAGAACCTCCCCCTCTCTGACCTTCATACCAGCTCCCACATGCTCCCTTTTATGTGTGTGTTTTTTGTTGTTTTCTTTATTTTTTTTTTTTTTTGCTCATGAGTTTTTCTTTAACATGAGGGATACACCCTCTTCTCTGCTAACCGCCCTCTTCCCAGCCTCCCCAGCCACCGTTCTCCACTCTGCTTTCACACTTACTGCCCGCACTCCTTCTCCTGGATCAGCTCAGCTGTAATCCCTGCTATTAATCACTCTAATGCACACAGATAAACCCAGTTCTAAACAGGCCCCTCCATTAGTCCAGACACAGCCTTCAATCAAATAACCCCTCCCCAGCTCTCCTGCCGGATCTGCCCCTCCTGGCCTCTCTTTGTGGCTGTTCCAGCTTGCCCCCAGCACTGTAACCCCAAACGTCCCTGTCCTGGGTCCTCATTGCCCTCCCTCCCTAGGGTCACTGACCCTCCATTCACAGCCCTGGTGTCCTTCCCCACTCCAGATACCCCAGATCAGCTACGCCTCCACGGCCCCTGAGCTTAGTGACTCCACACGCTATGACTTCTTCTCCCGCGTGGTGCCACCTGACTCCTACCAGGCCCAGGCCATGGTGGACATCGTGCGGGCATTGGGATGGAACTACGTGTCCACGCTGGCCTCCGAGGGCAACTATGGCGAGAGTGGGGTTGACGCCTTTGTGCAGATCTCCCGAGAGGCTGGTGAGCTTGGGGCAGGGGGGTCTGAGGCATGAAGGAGCCTATAGAGGGTCCGTTGGACAGGGCATAAGCAGTGAGGTAGGGCACTGGGTTCATGATGGGGAGCCTGGATGGTGCCCCCTGTGGGGGTCCTTTGGAAGACTCAGCCCCTGCCACAGTCATGAGTGGTGGTGGCCCTGGTGGGTGAATGGGTGGGACCGCAGCTGACTTTGGCATCTCCGACACCCAGGGGGGGTCTGTATTGCCCAGTCCATCAAGATTCCCAGGGAGCCAAAGCCAGGAGAATTCAATAAGGTGATCAGGAGACTCATGGAGACACCAAATGCCCGGGGCATCATCATCTTTGCCAACGAGGATGACATCAGGTGGGACAGATGGCATGTTCAATCACCGTGTTCTTCAGAGGCTGTCCTTGAAGACCCTGCCTCCTCTTCTCACATATCCCAGCCACGTACATCCTCCTTTCCCTCTTTCTCACCTCCCCTTACCTTCCTGCCCCCACATACCTTTTCTGCTGCCACCTCTCTGCCTGGTGCCCCCAGAAATGAACCAGGCCTGGTCTGGGTGAAGATGCTCCAAACCTAGCCAGGGAAACACAAGAATATATGTCTGTTTCTATAATTAACAGTGGGGGAGAGACGGGTGGGTGCATGTAAGTGCAGAAAATGAGCTGTCAGGGAAGGACTCCCAGGGGTAGGAGGGTATCAGTAGAAGGCCATGAGCCCCAGCAAGAGAAGGTAGGCCCTTCTTAAAGGCAGCATGCAGTGGACTATGGTGCACAGAACAAGAGGGCAGGCCTGGGGTCAGAGCCTGGCTGGACACTTTACTACCTGAAAAACCCAGGGCAAGTGTCCTAAACTCCCTACACCCTACCTTTCCTGATAAACAAAGGGTCTGATGAGTGATGCAGAATGGGGTAGATGGAGAGAGAAGAATGGAAAGTGACCAGAGTTAAGTTGGAGGAGGCTCTCCGGCCCTCGCTCACCCCTACCCTATCCTTACCAGGAGGGTCCTGGAGGCTGCACGCCAGGCCAACCTGACCAGCTACTTCCTGTGGGTTGGCTCAGACAGCTGGGGAGCCAAGATCTCACCCATCCTGAACCTGGAGGACGTGGCCGTGGGAGCCATCACCATCCTGCCCAAGAGGGCCTCTATTGATGGTGAGTGGGGGAACGCCCTTCCCCACTGCATCTCCCACCCATATTTATCCTTCCCCATGATCCCCTCTTGGGGGTGCTCATTTTCCCCTTCTATAAAATTGTACCATGATCCAGGGTCCCTTCTAGGATTCCCAGATTCTAGAATTCTGAGATTCTGTGAATACATCCCTCCAAGCAGTGTTTGAATGAATTGGCAGGTGAGGAAATGCACATCCCACTCTACAGGGTGAAGAATTGTTAGGTTTTGTTTGTTTGTTTAGTTTTGTGTTAATTCAATGCCTGTATTCCTGGTTCTGCCAAAGGCACTCTAATTTGAGGGTGACTGTGGGAGGGATAGAAACCAAGGATGTGGGTCATACTGTCCTGTTGATCAATTAATGAGGCCTTCCTCTCCACCCCTCCTCCACCATCCCGCCTGTGAATATCTGGAAGAATGCAGGAAAGATGGCCACTTTACACTAGGATTGCTCATTTCCCCAAAGGCTAAACTGAACATGCTTTGATGAGGCACTTCGGGGTATTTTATGAAGTGCAGACCCTTGTAAATGTTGAGCCCTGACTCGCAGGGGCTCCCAGCCTTTTGGAGGTGTACACCCACCCTTACACTCTTTCTTTCCCTTAGAATGCATTCAGTTGCAGGCAACAGACTAGACTGAGAGTGGTTTTAGCAATAAAGGCATTTCATTACAAGGCAAGAGGTTTCAAAGTAGGGGCAACTTCATGCTTGGGGCAGTGAGTCAATGATGTTCTCAGAGCCCTGAGCTCTGTCTCCCCTTCTGTTCCACCATCCTCTGTAGTTGCCATATGCCTTCTATTTTTTAAAAGTCAACCTGTTTTTGTTTTTGATTTTTTAATGAATTTATTTATTTTTGGCTGCGGTCGGTCTTTGTTACTGCGTGCGGACTTTCTCTAGTTGTGGTGAGCGGGGGCTACTCTTCGTTGCGGTGAATGGGCCTCCCATTGCGGCGGCTTCTCTTGTTGCAGAGCACGGGCTCTAGGCATGCGGGCTTCAGTAGTTGTGGCTCACAGGCTCTAGAGCTCAGGCTCAGTATTTGTGGCACACGGGCTTAATTGCTCCACGGCATGTGGTCTTCCTGGACCAGGGCTCGAACTCGTGTTCCCTGCACTGGCAGGCAGATTCTTAACCACTGCGCCACCAGGGAAGTCCCATGTGCCTTCTTGACTGTGGTGTTTTATTCACAAAGTGGCTGCTGAAGCTCCACCCATTACATCTTCATAGCAGCATCCTAACCAGGAAAGAAAAGGCAGCAAAAAATTCTCTCATGTGGTGAGGCTCTGAGCTTGTATCAGGATGCAAATTTACCGTGGAGTCCCTAGATGGCTTTGAACTCATTGGCCAGGCCAGAAATTGGTCACATGGGTATCCCCAGCTGCAAAGTGAGCAAGCGGTGAAGGGACACAAGTAGTGAGCTGTGGCTAGCTCAGACTGTTGCCAGCCCCCTCCCTCCTTCCCTGTCTCTCAGGATTTGACCAGTACTTCATGACTCGCTCCCTGGAGAACAACCGCCGGAACATCTGGTTTGCTGAGTTCTGGGAAGAGAATTTTAACTGCAAACTGACCAGCTCAGGTACCCAGTCAGACGATTCCACCCGCAAATGCACAGGTGAGAGCTGCCCAGGGTGGCGAGGGTGGTGAGGGAGAAGGTGGGAGGCCAGGTTGGGCATCTGGGAGCCAGGCACACTTCCTCTGGGCATCCCTAGGACAGGTGAGGAACGCATCGGCCGGGACTCTGCCTACGAGCAGGAAGGGAAGGTGCAGTTTGTGATTGATGCTGTGTACGCCATTGCCCACGCCCTCCACAGCATGCACCAGGCTCTCTGCCCCGGGCACACAGGCCTGTGCCCGGCAATGGAGCCCACCGACGGGCGGACACTGCTTCAGTATATTCGAGCTGTACGTTTCAATGGTGAGTGGGAGCCAGAGCCCCTACGTGAATGAGGGGAAGCCTGCTGGGATGGAGTTCTTGGGACCTGGGACGACTCAGGATGGAAGGAATGGGAGAGCAGAAGAGTATAGTGGGAGCATCTGGGCCTGAGAGCTGGAGGCTCGAGCCAAGTTCTGGGGAACAGTTTTTAACACCCCTCCTTCTCCAGGCTTCAGTACCTCCTGCTACAGGCTGCAAATTCCAGGTGTTGGGGAACTTCTCTGTGGCCCCTTCTGCCTGGATCCCTCAGAGGGTCACACACAACTCTCCTCTCCATTGCATGGAGTTTGTAGTCGTCTGGTCTCTGAGGGCACGCACGGGGCACAGTGCAGACTGTGCAAAGGCACTGCTTACACAGTGGACAGGCAGCCCACTCCGAGTCTCAGGCTTCCGAATGCCTCCCCAGCCAGGCCCTGTGCTGCCTGAGCACAAGGCATGAGTCTGTGTCCCTCCAATACGAGTGGAGGGCCTGGCACATGGTCAAGGCTCAGAATAAGGGTTTCTGAAAAGGCCCAGATGGACTCAGCCGTGCTTATGGTTTGCTGGGGGGGGCTTCGCATTGTGTTCAATTACTATCCTTTAGTAAATTAAGAACTCTCTTCTTCCACCAAATGTTGAGCACCTTTCCTCTGCCAAGCTCTCCGTTAAAGAGCGTGACTTAGGGATTTCCCTGGCGGTCCAGTGGTTAAGACTCTGTGCTTCCACTGCAGGGGACACAGGTTCGATCCCTAGTCAGGGAACTAAGATCCCTCATGCCGATGGCCAAAAAGTTATAAATAAATAAAGAGCATGACTTAATAGCACTCCAGAACAGCTCTGCAAGCTGGTAGAACAAGCTTCTAAAAGAAATAAGGCACGCTGATTGTTCAAATCAGTACCTTTGTAAGTCTGAACTCATCCTCTCGCCTGCACAGTTAAGCTCTTTCTTATTTCTTTTTAAATTGTGGTAACATGCACATAGCGTAATATTTACTATCTTAACCATTTTTAAGTGTACGGTTTAGTGGTGTACATTGTTGTGCAGTCAACCTCTAGAACTCTTTTCATTGTGCAGAACTGAAACTCTGTACTCATTAAACACTAACTCCCCATTTCCCCCTCCCCCAGCATTCTACATTTTGTCTATGAATTTGACTGCTCTAAGTACCTCATATAAGTGGAATCACACAGTATTTGTCCTTTTGTGAGTGGCTTATTTCACTTATCATAATGTTCTCAAGGTTCATCCATGTTGTAGAATGTGTCAGAATTTCCTTCTTTTTTAAGGCTGAATAATATTCCATTGTATGTATAGACCACAATTTGCTTATCCATTCATCCGTTGATGGACACTTGCGTTTCTTCTGCATTTTAGCTACTGTGAATATGCTGCTGTGAACATAAGTGTACAAATATCTCTTTGAGTCCCTGCTTTCCATTATTTTGGGTATATAGCTAGAAAGGAATTGCTGGATTGTGTGGTAATTCTGTTTAATTTCTTGAGGAACCACCATATTGTTTTCCACACTGACTGCATCATTTTGCATTCCCACCAGTGAAGTATAGGGTTTCAACGTCTCCATACACTTGCCAACACTTACTTTCTGTTGTTTTGACAGTGGCTATCCTAAGTGGGTGTGAGGTGGTATCTCACTGCGGTTTTGATCCGAATTTCCCTGATGATAGGTGATGCTGAGCACCTTTTCACGCGCTTGCTAAGCTCTTCCTTTGTCCTGGCTGGGCCTTTGATGGGCTCGAGAACCAGCTGAGGATGACAGGCTCTCCTTCCAGGCAGCGCAGGAACCCCTGTGATGTTCAATGAGAACGGGGATGCACCCGGGCGATACGACATCTTCCAGTACCAGGTGACCAATGGCAGTGCGGGCAGTGGCAGCTACCAGGCTGTGGGCCAGTGGGCGGAGACCCTCAGACTGGATGTGAGTGGCACGGGATGAGCTCTGGGCACAGGGAGGCGGACCCACCTTCCTGGGGGTGGGAGTCACAGGTCCCGGTGTCCCCTGTGTCCCAGGTGGAAGCCCTGCAGTGGTCGGGAGACCCCCGAGAGGTGCCCGAGTCTCAGTGCAGCCTCCCCTGTGGGCCGGGAGAGCGGAAAAAGATGGTGAAGGGCGTCCCCTGCTGTTGGCACTGTGAGGCCTGCGACGGGTACCGCTTCCAGGTGGACGAGTTCACTTGCGAGGCCTGCCCCGGGGACATGAGGCCCACGCGCAACCACACGGGCTGCCGCCCCACGCCAGTGGTCCGCCTGTCCTGGTCCTCGCCCTGGGCGGCCCCGCCCCTCCTCTTGGCCGTGCTGGGCATCATGGCCACCACCACAGTGGTGGCCACCTTCGTGCGGCACAACAACACGCCCATAGTCCGGGCCTCTGGCCGCGAGCTCAGTTACGTCCTCCTCACCGGCATCTTCCTCATCTACACGGTCACCTTCCTCATGGTGGCTGAGCCCGGGGCGGCTGTCTGCGCTGCCCGCAGGCTCTTCCTCGGCCTGGGAACCACCCTCAGCTACTCTGCTTTGCTCACGAAGACCAACCGCATCTACCGCATCTTTGAGCAAGGGAAGCGCTCGGTCACGCCCCCACCCTTCATCAGCCCCACTTCGCAGCTCGTCATCACCTTCAGCTTCACCTCCGTGCAGGTGAGTCCTTGGGCTCCCAGAGTGACGGGGTGGGCAAACGGGTTCGGGGCTGGGAGTACGGGACTGACCTCCACCTTAAAACTCAGAGTCCCGGGCTTCCCTGGTGGCGCAGTGGTTGAGGGTCCTCCTGCCAATGCAGCGGACACGGTTCGTGCCCCGGTCCGGGAGGATCCCACATGCCGCGGAGCGGCTGCGCCCGTGAGCCATGGCCTCTTGAGCCTGCGCGTCCGGAGCCTGTGCTCCGCAACGGGAGAGGCCACAACAGTGAGAGGCCCGCGTAAAAAAAAAAAAAAAAAAATCAGAGTCCCTCTTCTATTTTGGCCTCTATGTTTAAAAAAAAAGAGAGAAAAAGTCCCAGGAGATAGGGCGCTACTATTTCTGTAACTAGAAGAACACATTTAGGAGCAGCTGTTTCCTCCTGCTTCATCCTTGAAGGAAAATGGATCAGTAAGGTGGGGAGTGCAAGCATCCTGTTATTTTTCTGTAAAACAGTGAAATTATTTTCATAAAGTGAACGTGCTCTTCCATAATTTGGCTCCCAGGGCAAAGAGAATCTGATGAATTTCCCCCAAGCAGAGAATCTGTTTCCATAAAGGCAGTTCCTGCTGCCCAGTCACTGGGTAACTTGGATAAGAGGCACAGGGTCTAATGATACTATGTGGAGTGAAGCATCCAATTCCATTGATGGCCAGAATTTCATGCTGTATGTGCAGCAAAAGCAGAGTTCCTTTAGGGTTTTCTCTGAGATGGTAATATTACAACATTGGAAATGGCTCCTGTGGTCTGGAAAGCACTGGATGTTTTCTGTGTAAAGGGTGCTAAGAGACAAGTGTGTGTGACATTGTATGACATTGCAGAGCCAGCCCAGTTCTCAGGGCCAGCTGGATGGCCCATGCTCAGCTCATTTGGACACGGCTCACTCTCCACCCCAGGAGAGCCCTTCTTCCTACCCAGCTCTGCATATAACATGGTCATTCCCACCCATGGGCCTCAGTCCATGCAATTCTTCACAACTGGAAGGTGCTGCCATTTTCTGACACAAAGCAGGGTCTGAGTGTCCTCTGTCAGGGCTGGAATCTCAGTGCACAGCCCATCCTCAGAAAGCACCTCACTGCTTCCTGCCTGAAACCCCCGTGGCACCTCTTGCCCCAGGATAGAGATGTTTAGACTGCATTCAGTACCCCCGTCTGGCTCACCTATGGACTCCCCACATTATACCTCTCTTTCTAGAAATCCCAAATCTTTTCAAAGATGCACACCTTCAACTTTACAAGGTTATTCAGCAATATGATGGATGTGAAATGGTATCTCATTGTTTTAATTTGTCTCTACTTACTAGTGCAGCTAGCCTTTGTACTTTCCTCTTCTGTGATGTGCCTGTGCCTCTTCCTGTGCTTTGCTCACTTTCTATTATTTTGTAGGCTTTTGTTATCTGGACTGGATGCTAATTCTTTTACCAAGTACGTGGGTTGCAAATTCAGTGGGGCACATTTTGGTTGCTACTCCATGTATCATAGGCCTTGGGTTTTAGTTTCTCTTGGGCAACTTTCCCCCCCAGCTAGAGGATTTCTAAGAGGAGCCTCCATGCTTCCTTCCTGGACAGTGGGTGGAGTTTTATTTTATTAGTCCCTTGTTCATGGGGCTGCTGCCTTTGGGAGAATCACAAAAAGGTGTTCCTTCTGGGTGTGCAAATTATTTAAAAAGCATCCTTTCCTCTAGGATCACATGGCCCTACTCCAGGTGCCCAGTATGGCGCTGAAGTGTTGGCTAGGTTTCAGCCCCGCTCCTCCCAAGTCAAGCATCTTGTGCAGTGAACCACCTGGACAAATGTAGGGGACGGCCCTTCCAGGGTCCCATCTTTATGCAGGTGTCTTAGTTCCTACTCCCCAGCTTCCCTTGGCTCGAGGTCATGTCTCCCCTCACTGTGAAGGAATTCATACTCCATCTTCTCCTTGTTAGGGCCTGTGTCTGACTCTGACCTCCCTGGCCACCTGGCATCAGTTCACATTCTTACTGCTCTCCATTCAGTGCCTCTATATTTTGAGCCTCACTATGCATTCACACACAATTTCATTATATCTTGTTCAACAGTTCTCTGGATCTGGAGAAGGAAGGGGGTCCTCAGGAACTTGGTTTGCCATATTGCTAGATTAGATACAGCTAGTGTTTTCCCCACCTACAGAATACATGATACTGCCTCCCTGGACGGTTGTGAAGGGAAACATTTCTGCTGGGCCTGGTTCCTAATCAGTGGAACATGCACTGACTCCTCCCCCAAGCTGGCATCATGTCTTCATAACAGATTATGAGGGTTCCCATTCGGTAGATAGAGGAGATGTGATTAGGGTCACCTTTCCAGAGCCCCTGCCTGCAGTCACTGCACCTTGCTGGGCTCAGTAAACGGTGGTGGTAATGGCTGAAATACAGGAAGAGGACATACAGGGCCCCTTCCCCAATCAGCCCAGATGTCCCCAGCACATACTTCCACTGCAGCCCCTCCTCTCCACCTGCCTGTGTCACAGGCCTTTGCCCAGGCAGTCCCCTCCTGGACAACCCTCCCCTCTCCACAGTGGCTCTCAGGCCTGAGCATCCCACTCAATAGGCCAGGAGCCTAAAAGTGACCCTAACCTGCTAGAGATCTCAGTCAAGGGTGAGGCTGGGTGTGTCCTTGATACCATGTTGGCTCCTGCAGGTGGTGGGAGTGATGGCCTGGATGGGCGCCCAGCCCCCACACAGTGTGATTGACTATGAAGAGCAGCGGACGGTGGAACCAGAGCAGGCCAGAGGGGTGCTCAAGTGCGACATGTCAGATCTGTCCCTTGTCGGCTGCCTGGGCTACAGCCTCTTGCTCATGGTCACATGCACGGTGTATGCCATCAAGGCCCGTGGCGTGCCTGAGACCTTCAATGAGGCCAAGCCCATTGGCTTCACCATGTACACCACCTGCATCATCTGGCTGGCTTTTGTGCCTATCTTCTTTGGCACTGCCCAGTCAGCTGAAAAGGTAATCTGGGTCCCCCGTCAGTTTCATGACCTCGTTTATTTCCTGCCTGTCCACGGAAGGGCTCGATTATTCCAAGAGCTGGGCCACCCATATGAATGCTTGCTTGGTTGGCTGATTAATTCATGTACTCATTTGTCTTTCCAGTCTCCCTCCAGTTGTTCTCTTAGTCCCCTTTCCATTGTTTATTCATTCATTTTTTTCATCCATGCTTCTTCCAACCATCAATTAACTTTATTTTATTCAATTATCTTTTCATATACTTTATATCTGCCAATCCATTCATCTGTCGGTCTATTTGTTTGACAGTCATTTATTCATGTGTACAGTGGAGCATTTGTTTATTCACCTCCATCTTCCCTTTGTTTGCCTACTTGCTCCTTTATTCAGGTTTGGTTCATCCATTCATTTGTACATTTGAAAACATGTTCATTCATTCATTAACATTCTCTAGCACTTTTTAGGCATATGGACCATTTCCCCAGGTGTTGCTCTCTGTGAATGAACCTCTCACTTCCCTTGATCACTTGTCCACTCAGTCCTGTGTCGTTTACCCTTCTTCCTGCCTATACCAGAGCCAAACAGTGACTACCAGTTCTTCATGCCACAGGGCCTTTGCTTACACTGCTCTCCTTTATTGAGTGCTCATTCCCAGTCACTTGACTGAAATAGACTCACTTCCAGGCTGTGTGGGGGTGGAGGGCGGGAGAGACCTGGGCTGAGTCCCACCTGGTCCCTTCCTCCGTGGCCTAGATCTACATCCAAACCACCACACTGACTGTGTCCTTAAGCCTGAGTGCATCGGTGTCCCTCGGCATGCTCTATGTACCCAAAACCTACGTCATCCTGTTCCACCCGGAGCAGAACGTGCAGAAGCGGAAGCGGAGCCTCAAGACAACCTCCACAGTGGCAGCCCCACCCAAGGGCGAAGGCACAGAGGCCCCCAAGTAGCAAGTAAGGGATGAATGGGACAATTGCTCCCCATCCTCTGTTCTTTTCTTTCCCTTGCTTCATGGTGGAAGCTGTGAAGAGCCCAGATCTGCAGTGAGCAATCAGGGTGGGGAGTCCACAAAGGCCACGGCCACCAAGATGGAGCTGGCCTGGACCCACAGGACACCTTTTTCTGTTTTTCTGTGCATGATGGCATCATACTTCCTCACTGCAGACCAGACTTTCTACTCATGGTGGGAAACAGCCACTGAGAGAATCCTACTCTGGAGAGGGACTAAACTTATACTCACTGATTTGAAGTTCAGAGATCATGATGAAGCCCTGGGCTTGGCCCAGTGTGAGTGGATTTCCACCCCTTGATCAACCACCAGAATTTGGGGATTGGGCAGCATGTGAGAATATGTAGACCCCAGAATGAAATTCAGGGTTGGAGTCAGGGAGGAGCAGTTTCCACAAGAGCTCTGTGGGTCTGTATTTTGGACTAACTTGGGCTTGGGTAAATATTTTGCTGGTACAGAGGGATCGAGCCTTGGATGAGAGCCCTGTGAGAGAAGATGGGCCTGCACAGGACAGGGGAATGAGCAGAGGGAACTGGCATGCTCCCATGAGATTATTTGTGGCAGGGTCTTTTCCTCGAGATCTTTTCTCCTGGGATCTGGGGGATGTCACACTTAGAGAACTGCTTTTTTTTCCTTTCCCATGTGTATTCCCTTAAATGAACCCTGAACTTTAAGAAAATCAGATACACTTGTGTGGTGGTAGGGGTGTGAGAATAAACTAGCAAGGGTGGTGTTTGCCCTCCTCTGATGCCTGTAAGGGATGGTGTTCACAAGTTCTAGGTTGGGACCAGTGACAGAGAGAGTTGTGTCCATGGCGAAGATTAATTCCAAGTGGATAACTTAGGATGAACATCAAAACTGTTCTCTTCCAATATTTCCTGGGGAGATCCCCTTCGAAAGGCAAGCATGAGGCATGGGAAGGAAGATGCTTGGACTTCAAATGCATTTTTCATTAAACTTTTTTTAACAAGAAGTTCAGTTTAAGTTAATGGAATTTTATTTCCCTGGGGTAGAATTTAAATTTGTTAAATTGACTCTTTTTATTTATCAGTATGAATTCTCTAGTATCTAATGTCTGGAACTGATTTTGAAGATCAACAACACTTCATACAACATGGAGACTCTTCCTTAGACAGAGTCTCTGCATAATCCATTTTGACCTTGGGACTAGGTGTTTCTGCATTCTTTAATAGGGCTTCTCCTCAGAATAACATTTTTGGTGTACAGATTCTCCTTCCTCACATTTGTTGCATTCCTAGGAATTCTCCACAGTGTGAACTATGACATTTCATATATTGCTGGATGCTTACCAAAATTCATTATTTCATACAGGTTTGCTCCTGTGTGGGTTTCCTGATGTACAATGAGGTGTGTTTTCTTACTGATGGCTTTTCCACATTAGTGCTTTGATAGGGTTTTTCTCCTATATTAACTCTTAGAGAACAATGAGCTCTGATCTCCGAATGAAGGTTTTCCTGTATTTATTATTTTCTTGGTGTTTCTCTTGGTATGAATTCTCTGATGTGCCGTGAGTCTTGACTTCTAGTTGAAAACTTTTCCACAGTTTTACATTTTTATGGTTTTACCCACTCTGAACTCTGTGACTTAGATTTTGGATGATTTCTTATTAAAAGCTTTTCCACATTTAGAGGTTTTCTCCCCATGTGAAGTTTCAGACTGAGAGTCCTGGTTTCCTGCTGAAGACTTTCATATACCCCCGCATTCATTCAGACTGGTCTCTCTGATGTGGATTCTTTGATGCACAGTGAGTTCTGTCGTCTTCTTCTGGGCCTTCTCACATTCAGTCCACTTGTAGAAGATGCATGCACCATTTTGTGTGCAGTGGGGGCATCCTCTATTGCTAAAGGCATTGTCATATTTAGTACATTTGTGAGATTTCTCTCCTTTCTGAATTCTCTAATGTGTACAAAAAGTTCTGACTCTTGGAAGAGGGCTTTTCCACATTCAGTGTGTACATAATGTCTCCACCTTGGATCATTTCTTTGATGTTCAGTGGGGGTTGACAAATCCTTGAAGGTTTTTCCATGCTCTTTGCATGCATAGTTTGCCTTCTCTGGTGTCCAATCAATCAATTTGAACCCCTGAAAAAAGTTTTTCCTCCAAATTTGTGGAATTTATAAGGCATTCTGCCTATGTGTTTCATTTTCTGTTGAATAAGAGCCAGGCTATACCTATAGGCTTTCTCACATTCATTGTCCTTGAATGATTTCTCACCAGTATGGATTATATATTCCAGTGAAAACAGGGTTCTGGTTGGAGGCTTTTCCACATTACAGTCACAGTATTTCTCTCCAGTGTGAGTTCTCTAAAGCAGAGTAAGATTACATTTTGTTATAAGCTTTTATTCACCATGTTCAATGTGTTGAGACTTGTACAGGAGGGATTTTTAAATATTACTTATATTCTTATGCATTTTCACTAGTGTGGTTTTTAGTGGACACATTTATAACATTTATTACAACTTTGTCACATTTATTACATTTTGTGGTCTTTGGAAATTTCTCCCAAATTCATTATATTCATTGTCTCTCACTTTATTCAGTAACTTCTCCGTAAATAAATGTAAATTTTCCCAAACGTTTGACTTGGGTTTTCTGTTCCTTTTGTATATAGTTATTGACTTGCAAGACTCCCTGTAAAATGGAATAAAATGATAACTCCAAGTGAATCTTTTCGCCATCATTTTATAGAAGGAAACCTCTTCAGGAATACTGTTATATTGACGTCTTTGGCTCTAAATATGAAAAATTCCTAAGTGTAAACATTTCCCACCTCTTGGGCTTTGAGGGGAGAAATCTGCTCCAGTGTGGACAGAGCAGAGTACTGAAAGCTATGACAAGTAGGTTGGGAGTTTCAGAGATGACATTTTAATCTGTGGAGCAAAGAGTAGGAATCAAGATGGGCTGCAGCTCTGAAAAGGGAAGACTGAGTGGGAGGATTGGATGGAAAAGGCAAAGAAAGGTAGAGAGAGGCACTAATGGTGATGGGACTGGGTTTGGACGTTTTTAGCCTCATCACTTCATTCATGGATTACTATTGCAAAACTTTAGTCTTTCTGCTTTCTGTATTTTCCCCCCTCTCATCCTACACACCAGTATCAAAATCATCATGCCAGGGCACCAGCTCCCCACATTTATAGGAACATTGTTGTGGATCCTGCCCTCTCCCAACACCTGCATCAGGCTGTGATTCATTCTCATATTTACCTGCAGACTCAGAGGCAGAAATCGCAGGAAGGGTGATTTAGTCTAGAGAATCATGGCCTCATGCACTGTTCACTGATATAATCTGACAGATTAAGCATCATTAGGTTATTCTACCAGAGCTCTTGAGTGCCGAATTTACCTGTAGTATCAACTTTCTAGTTTTTTCCCCATTCTGATTTGCTACACAGGGAAAATTTCCAGGATCCACAGACCTTGTCTTGCCCCTGCCCCTGTATACTTCCTTCACTCAGCTTTCACATCTTGACTTGTACAACACTGAGGTTAAGACATCTTGAGATCAATTCCAGCTCTGCCACTTACTAGATGGGTGACTTTGGGCAAGATAATTAGCCTCTCCCATAGCCAGTCTCCTTAATGATCTCCACAGAGATGCCCAAGCCATTGACCCCATTTACCTACTACTGACCCTCCTAGTCCTACCAATCACTGTCCATGCAGACCCCATTCATTAAGCGAAGTCCTCAGCTGACAAGTCCCATCACCCCATCTCAGACCCACTAGCCCTCTGATTCACTGATCTCCACAGACTGCTCATTCATTGCTGCTCCAACAATTATCATTGGGTATTTCCTCTGTGCTAAGCACCTGGGATACATCAGTCTATAAAATAGACAAGGATTGTCTCCTTCATGGAACTTACATCCTAGTTGTGGAGACAAACAATAAACAATATGTAACACAAATAAATTATGAAATATGTTAGGAGGTGATAAAGTGCTGTGGAAAAAAGAAAACAGAGCAGGGTAGGGAGAAAGGGAAAGACTAGAGGGGATGGGCTGCAATTTAAATAAAGTGGTTAGTATAAGCTTCCTTGAGAAGGTGGAACTTGAAGGAAGTGGAGAGTGAGCCATGGAATTATCTGGGGGAAGAAGGGTCTAGTGGATGGAGCGGCCAGTGCAGAAGCCCTAGGGCAAGTGCATGCATGTGTGTCTGAAGACCCAGTCAAGAGGCTGGTGCGGTTGCAGCAGGGCAAGTGGAAGAAACAATGTGAGAAAGGTAGGTGAGGTATATCAGTCAGAGTTCTCCAGAGAAGCAGAACCAATAGAACATATTGGTTTCTCTGGAGAACGCTGATAGATAGATTAGATAGAGATAGAGATAGAGAAAATATATGGTATGTATAGATATAGATAGAAAGGCTAAAAAATAGATGGATAAATCTATCTATCTTATCATCTTTCTAACTATCTGTCTAACTTATACCTAATAGGATGTGTGTGTGTGTGTGTGTGTGTGTGTGTGTGTGTGTGTATGCATAATGTCAAGACATATATTTTAAGAAATGGCTCCCAGATTGGTTCAAGGTGGTGGAATAGAAGGATGTGTGCTTACTCCCTCTTGTGAGAGCACCGGAATCACAAGTAACTGCAGAACAATCATCAACAGAAAGACACTGGAACTCACCAAAAAAGATACCCCACATCCAGAGACAAAGGAGAAGCCACAATGAGATGATAGGAGGGGCACAATCACAATAAAATCAATTCCCATAACTGCTGGGTGGGTGACTCACAAACTGGAGAACACTTATACCACAGAAGTCCACCCACTGGAGTGAAGGTTCTGAACCCCATGACAGGCTTCCCAACCTGGGGGTCCAGCAACGGGAGGAGGAATTACTAGAGAATCAGACTTTGAAGGCAAGCGGGATTTGATTGCAGGGTTTTGACAGGACATGGGGAAACAGAGACTC